GGGACATCAGGGGAAAAAAGGGCTAAAGAAGTTATTTTCGTACATGGATGAATGAACACAGACTGGTTGGGAACATGTTTTCGAGGTGTAGGAGGCACAAGGGGACGGAGAACGTCCCAGTTGGGCTGGAAGGAGCCCTGGGCTGGAAACTGGGCACGGCATGAAGCGGCTGAGACACACTTTTGTACGATAAGAGAGAAACCAACGCTGCGCTCGGGTCCTGGGTGCCTCTGCCCGGGTTTTCACGCAGTGCTGTACTGGTTGGCGCTGAAATAGGTGGGGGCGCAGCTCTCCCTCAGGTTTCGGCAGGAGGCATCTTTAACTTTGAAGCAGATGATGGACCACAAACCACAGTGGTCACAATTCACTACAGTTGGGTTTTGTTGGGGGGTAATTTAAAAAAAAAAACAAAACAAAACAGTTTTCATCTCTCCCGCAAGGAGAGCTGGGTGAGTTGTGGAGAAAGGAGGGGTGCGCTGAGAGTTCACGTTCTCTCAAAATAAACCTAGTGGTTTCAGCATGGCCGAGAGGTTTGCTTGCTGCGGACGTCCCCGGCACAGCCTCTTGCGAATCCTTACGTGCTTGCTTGTGGAGCGCGCAGGTCCTCACTGAAGGGCAGGAGAGCCGGCATCTCCACGGCCTTTACATCAGGGTCGGGTTTCTGCCCATCCTGGTCAAAGATGGAAAAGGTTTTTTGGTGTTTTGGTTTGGTTTTTTTTTTTTCTTTCTGCTCCACTTAGCTCGGGTCATTTTCTACTCGTCTCTGAAGCTGCCCGGTTGTTACGAGACCAAGTTCTTGCTCCGTCCCTGGCTCGTGTGTTTAGAGACGCTGTGACAGGTTTTCCATCCTCATCTTTCAGAGGGGGCTCAAGCGTGTAAAACCTCCAGTTTCCCGTTGCCAAAAAGCGTGAGCTCTCTTCTTCTTTCCACACATGGCTCACCTACCTCCCCTCTCATTTCCCATCGCCTGTTTCCCAGTGTCTCCAAGGAAATCTTTGACCTCGCTGAACTAAGCCGGAGGCTTTCTACGGCTTGACGCCACTAAGTTACATGTTTTGAAGGAGTTTAATGGCTGCAGGAGCACAGCAGAGCCACGCAGCAGAGCACTTCTTTCCTGCCGCGGTCGTGGCCTTTGGGAGGTATTTGCACCCCATTTCTGTAGGCCTCTGATTTAGGTACCACGGGAAGGCAGTCTGGAGGACCCAGTGGGTGTAATTTAAAGGTCTCATAAGAATAACAGAAATAAATTACTCAAACTCTTGCCTGCAAAGGTACAGCTGCTGCAGAAAATACAGAAGCTGTTAGGCAAGTTCTAGCGTGTTTCGGTTGATGCTGGCCTGGATAAGTCCACAGATCGATACGTGAGGACCAGTCTTCTGAATTACTGGCATCCAGGAAGCGGTTAGCTTAAATGCAGTCACAGGCTAGATCCTCACCCTCCTTCTCCCTTTTCAGAATTACCACTCAGCATGCACGAATATGAGCCGCCCGCAATGACTGCAAGCTTTTCCTTCCTGAAAAAACACCACAATGTTTATCAATATACACTTTAGTCATACATCAAAACCACCGTGACTACTATCAAGACGATTCAGAAACCCTGGGATTACAGTATCTCTGTCAAGTTCTCCTTTCTCGCCGCGTCCACATTTATTTCACCTTTCCTACCCGAAGCAGAAACTTGTAGCAGCTTGAGAACCAGCTAGGCAAATGCACGTCTTCTGGGGCCGTGCGGCGGGGATTCACCAAACTACCCCGGCGTCCGGGGGGAAACCCAAGCGCATCGCTTCAGAGATGGAGCCAGAGCTGGGCTTCACTATGAAAATCCGCGTCTAGGTATGAATCAAGAGGGCGCGCCTGAAAGGGGACCGCTGGTTACGCTCTGTTCATCTTCGTAGCCCTGTAGGCAACGACTGCCGTGCCACCCCACCACCTGAAGTTGCAGAGCTGAGCCCGCACGTCAGGCAGTCTTTCCAGAAGCATCCGTGGGCCAGGCCGGGGACACTGCTGGGCAGCACCGCCTGCCCAAAGGATGCCACGATGGCTGTCGCTTCCCCGCAGCCCCAGGGTGAGCGTGTTATTTTGTCCCGGCAGCGTTGACTTCTCCTACTTGGAGGGGAGCTGCTGCCAAGGCCACCTCTGCAGAGGGGATGACTTCCTCGGTGCTCGCGATGAAGAGGAGGCCCTCCTGTCCTCTCCCTGAGGGGTGTGTGGGTTTCGTCCTGGGTACAAAGTGAGTTAATGAGCACCGTGACTGTCGTGGAGGAAGGGTTGCGAGGACGGGCGTAAAGCGACATGTCAGCCCAAAGCAGCACATCCCTAGAGGGCACAACCTCAGTGAAAGCACCTGGGATCTTGCATGGGTCTGGGGAGAAACATCTGCCCCAGGCCAAAACTGGGGTCGCTGCGGCCAAACTGATCACCCAGGATCCCTTTCAAGCCACCTCTCTAAATGTACCCGGCTGAAACATGCTTCTGTAGCTCCCACTTCTCGCCAGGGTAGACAGGAGATGGACACCTGCCCTGCAGCCACAAATCTGGGGCGTGATCTTGCCCGTGAGTTATCTTGGTCTGTCCATTGCATGTCTCCCAGGGGTAGCTTCTTCCCGTACCAGTTTCCGTAAGCGCTGCCAGCGCCGGTGTTGGTTTCTCTCGGGCGTGGAAGAGCCACGCTTGGAGTGCTGGCCACGCGTCCCGACGTCGTCCTCTCTGCTGGGCAGCTCTGGGGAAAGTTGCTTTCACTTCTCTCGGTTTTCCCCAGCTATAAAAGCAGGAACACTTTGAAGCCATGAGCTTCAGAATGATTTTGAAACTTCTTTGGTGCCTCCGTAGCACTTTGAGTAGGTGACCAGTCATCTCTCCTGGACTTTTCTTTGAAGAGACCCCTGCCACGACCCAGCAAAACCATTTAAACCACTCCTAGGTTGGGCTCCTTCTAATAGCTCTCTGCAAGGAGATCGAAAGCTCTGAAAGAATTGAACAAAACCCAGTTTTAAAGCCACCTCCTTTTCCACTGCCACAGCAGCAAGGCTCTCATTCCCCCCGCAGGACTTTGGGAATAGCTCATGGAAATCGTCCCTGGCCTCGCTGTGACCCTGATGTACAGGAGTTCAACTCCTCGCTCCTCTGTTCTTGACCCTGATCTCTTGAACAAGGTCTTTACAAGACTTTTGGGCCTATCTCAGAGGAAAAACACGTTTTTAAGAGAAAGACGAGTCGCTTACAGTTTGAGTGGAAGACTTTTTTTTTTTCCCTTTTTAGTTTACCATTTTGTTACTATATAAAATGCTGACATGATTTGAAAGCTCCAAGTTACAACATTATCACACAACCACATCATTTTTCTTCTGCCCTCTTCCTTCCTCCTCGCTTCGCGATCGTGGCCGCGTGTCCCCTTCCCTTTTTGCTTCCCGGCTGGTGACTTTGCCTTACTCAGGGCAGCCCCCGTCCCATCAAAACCCGAGAGCGCGGGGTGCTGCTGCGGCCGTCGCTTCGCGGCAGTGGCCCTTGAATATCCTGTGTGAGAGCTGAAGGTGTTGGCATGACAGGACTGACCCCTTGCGTGCCAAAACGCGTTGCTGTAGCCCTTCAGCGGCTCGTTTTGAGAGAAACCCAAAAGATGCTGTGAAACGTGCGGAGGAGCAAGCGCCAGCCGATGGTCCCCCAAAACGGGCAGGGGTATTCCCTTGGGCGTAAGGCCCGGAGGGCTCCGCGTTGCCAGAATAGAGCCTTGGGGACACGTGGCTCTACAGCACTGTAAGGATGAGCGTGGTCCGACCTCCCCTTCTACGTGCTCCTACAGTTTCCCACTGCCACATGCACGTCTACTTTGGTGTCAGTAGTTTGCCCGCTACCGCTTGATTATCCCTGCCACGGATGACGGAGAGCTGGCTCACCGGCTGCATAGCGCACTGCACTTCTGAGCTGGTAACGTAATAAAAGCTGCTTTTCTTGAAACGGCGGGCAGGCAGAACACCTCTAACTCAGCCCAGACTATTTCAGGTCCGAAGTGCTGTAACGGGCTAGTAAATGGGGCCAAATAGGAAGACCCCTGAAGCTAGCCCTGGTGCCGCCCCGTGGCTCGTTGTGCGTCCAAATGGGGATTTGATCCCTGTGTTACCGAAGGGCGCTCCGGACATACCGGAGA